ACTTCTATCCTCAAAAAGACAATACATATTCAGAAAACTATAGGTTCATGTCATTGACAAGTCACCTCTGCAAAACTAGGGCACAAATAAAAAACAGGTTTCTGGGAATCAACAATCTTATCACCTATTTCTGATGTGGCTTCTGAAATAAATTAGGTTTGTTTATTACACCTTCTTTTGAGGGAGTGTTTTAAAAACATTTATTAAAAGAAGAAATACAAACACGTATTCTTTAAATAAAGAACTGCTAAAACAAAGCCAAATGGTTAGTAAAAATGGCTTGAATAAAATTTGATGCATAAAACTGTTTTTACATGTGAGGCTCATATTCATGCTGCAAAAAGAAATAAGCCCCAAAATGAAGCCTGGCGGTTTATGTATAAAATTTGATTTTCAAAAATTTGTTAAAAAAGAGACTCAAGTCTAATGATCTCAGAACCTGCTTAAATAAATTTTACAAATAGTCTTGGTTTAAAGATATATATATATATATATATATATATATATATATATATATATATATATATATATTTAACTAATGGAGAAAGTTATGCTAAACTTCTGACTCAATTTGGGGCCAATTTGTGTTTAAGTCTGGCTTATCAAACAGGCAGAAGGGTTTTGGCATTAACAAGGTAGCAATCAGTTGGTTCTGGTAGCTGAACTTGAAAAAAGAAAAAGAAACCAGAAAGTAGAAGTGTTTTGCCATTCATAAGGGAGACATCGGCTGATTCTGGGATTTGAACAAAAGAAAAACTAAAAGCCACCACCAATGACAACCACTACAGCAAGAAGGAAAAGAAAGAAATTGAAAGAAAAAGAAAAGGAAGTAACAGAAGAAATGGAAATAAAAGCAGAAAGAAAATTCTACAAATTTGGAGCGATAAACGATTATCTTTTCTATAATTGTTTGTGAATGTTTGTCACAAAGTCAGAGGTATTAACCCTGATTTTGAACTTTTTATGGAAATGCAAGATTTATCTCATCTCAGCTTTCAAAACTGAACTATTGTCTAAATAAACCAGAAACTCAGCAACACCTGTGAATTGTCATCCTTCTCAACTCTTTTGACCATTGAATGAATTGAAGTAAGTGAACATTTTGTTGATAATAATTTTGTTTTTATGAGCCCAACAGAATTCTAATTAGAACTTGTTATCTTGCCTAAGTGTCAGGCACACAAAGGAAAATTTTGTACAATCTTATTTTGTAAATTTTGTAGTCTGTATTATTATTATTTTATGTAATAAATATAAATTTCTTTCAAATTTTGCATCAGAGTAAGACTTTTGTTTTTCATTTGTGCCATTTATAATACATTAAGAAATTTGATGTTCTCTATTTGTATTCTCTCCTCAAAAATCCTTTTTTATAGCCTATTGTCTTGCATAAAGGAAATAGGTCTATATTTAAAAATGTAAGGATCTGATTATATATCTGTTGTTTGAGAATCATTAATATCATATTAAGTAGCATTGAGTGGTGCTGAACAGATATACAATTTTTCTTTGTATATATGGCCTGAAGATTGTGTTGAAGCATCAAACAGACTGGATGTTGACCTCAATGTCCACACACACACACACGTGTGTGTGTGTGTGTGTGTGTAAAAATTTCAGATAAAGTATATCTGTCAAAAGACAATATGAATAAAGACAAAAGGAAAACTTAGCTGATGTATTTCATCCTCTGAGGGACTTTATCAATGCAAATGCAAGGATTTTATTTTGCAACAAGTATTTATATACAAGAGCAAAAATGTTATTTTGAAAAACATGAGGATTTAACCATTTTCTTTTAAATTTTTAGCATTTCTGTAGTCATGTATCTTGGCTTGGGAAAGTAGCGATTCTTTCAGGAAAGGAGATATTGGGAAAAATCTGGGGTGCAGATATTTTGATAAGATTTGATAGAGGCATTTTCAAGAATTTTCCTTCTAAGTTAATTTCTCTTTTAATAAGTGTGGTATTCCTTAGATCAAAGTTGTAGTTGAATTTGTTTCTATGTATAACTAATGCATTTGATAAATTGTTGTGTATAAGATCCCTTTTGTCTTCATAGATATATTTTTTTAAATTTATCTAACCAAATCATGAAATGAATGTTGTCTTGAATGACCATGCTTCTAAATCTTTTTGCATTAATGCAGGTGTACCCCAGAACTCTATTCTTGGGCCTACATTATTCCTAATTTTCATCAATGACCTTCCCGATATCATCAGTTCTCAATTCGGTATCTATTCTGATGGTACAACTATTTACTCCTTACAGCTGATTTAAAAAAGATCTACACTCTGTTGTTAACTGGAGCAAGGAGTAGTTTGATAATTTTAACACCTCCAAAATGAAACTGCTCTCGTTTAATCATCTGAGAGAACCTTTTTTGCCTTCCATCAGTATGGCTGATGCTAACCTCCAGGAGAGTAACAAATTGCGCTTTCTCAGATCAACATTTTTTGCTGACATGAAGTGGAAAGATTTTATTGAATCAATTGTTAGTCTGTTACTTGGAAAGTTGGTTCAGTGTTGTTCTTGTCAGTATTTATCTTACATATTTATAGGTCTACCATTCATCCATGCTTTGAATATTGCTGCCACATTTGGTCTGCTGTTCATGATATATATTTAGAGATTCAAATCCAATGAAGAATCTGCAACGTTTTTTCTTTTTCTCATATTTTCTAACACTCAGTAACCATTTGCATCATAATGGCTTTATTGCCTTGCTCTGGGTGAAATAATTTAATAAAAAAGTTTTGGTGTTTTATGTTGGGATGGTTGATATGCAATTTATTTGAATTGTGATCAGATAACTGGTGTATTAACTGGTGCAATGATGTAATGGTTGTTTAACCAATGTATGTGTTGCTTGAATTATTGTCATTAGAGGGACATTCTCTAGTGAGTAAGTGAATTCATAGAAAACATTGGTTCCTTGAAGTTTTGATTTTTTTTTATATTAAATGTTGTAACATTTAAAAATGATGGAAATGTTCTTGATGGTAATTAATGCAGGAAGGCTATCATTAAATCTATTTATTAACATGCATACTTAGAGAAATGAAAAAATAAAGTAAAAAGAATAAAAGGCAGACTGACTTCGATGCTGAATGACCCAGTAACAGTTGAAATGTCTTTAAATATAACCTAACCTAATCATTTCATTCTTTCAAACATTTTTTAAAACAGTATCAGTCTAAGCAAAGCAGTAAAGCCAACAAAATGGAAGGGGTCACTGGGTGTGGAAAAATTAAAAACCAGAAACATTAATAATGAGCAGAGAGAGAAAAGAGTAATCAGGAAGACAGTAGATAGTGATTGACATTTAAATTTTTGATGATTAAAGTTAGCTAGAAAGCATGGAGCCAGAAGGAAGTGCCACAAGTGAGGTGTGCGAGAAAAGAAAATGTTAGCATAGAACTTATGGCTACATCTAGCCATCTCAACTGTAAATTGATGAGATCTTGATGCCAGTCTAGTGCTTCTCTTAAATTTAAAAAAGTCTAGGTACCATAGCAAAGAGTTCATTTGAACAATTACCATGAAAGTATTTATAAAAAAAGGTACAAAGAGGCAACCTTACAGTGGTGGGTAAGTGACTGAAGCTGAGCCATCAGATAAGGATCGATAATATTGCTGATTCTTCTTTGGATCTTATCAAGAAGCTCCAGGTAAATAGCAGGGGCACTGGACCATATGTGGCAGCAATATTCTAAACAAGGATGAATGGTAGACTTATAGATATGTAAGATAGACTCTGGAGAGAAAAACTGTCTCACATGACAGAGTGAACCATCTTTCTTAGCAGTTGACCTAGCAATGGATTCAATATAGTCTTTCCACTTCATGTTAGCTGAGAACATTAGCCCAAGAAGGTGCAACGAGTAATTTTCCTGGAGGTTAGCATCAGCCATGCTGATGGAAGGCAGTGAGGGATCTTTCAGATGATTAATGAAGAGAAGTTTAGTTTTGGAGGTGTTAAAATTGACAGGCCATTTTTTGCCCCAGTTAATGACAAACTTGAGGTTGTTTTTGACATCAGCTGCCATTTTGATTTTGTCGAGCTGATCAGCCTATCAAGGCAGGAGTAAATGGTTGTGCCATCAGCATAGATGCTAAGTTGAGAGATGATGTCATTGGAAAGGTTATTAATGAAAATTAAAAACAGTGTAGGACCAAGGATGGATCCCTGGGGGACACTTGCATTAGCATGAAAGGATCTAGGTGAGTAGCCATTCAGGATAACTTACATTTCACAATTTGATAGGAAAGACTTGATCAGCTCAGAAATGTGTCTGGTGACACTGTAACTTTTCAGTTAGTGAAGAAGACCTGTAGGTCAGACCCTGTCAAAAGCTTTCAAGATGTCCATTGCAGCCTGGACCTCACCATTTTTATCTTCAGCATGGTAGACTCTTTTCAAATATATTGTCAGTATATCAGCAGTTGACCTGGAGAAATGAAAGCTGTATTGTTTGTCTGAGAAAAGGCTCTGCATTGAGAGATCATGAACCAATTCAGCATTGATTAGGTCCTCTAGGAGTTTCCCAAAAAGAGGTAGAAGGCTTATAGTTGGAACCAGAGTTCTTAAAAACTGGAACAACAGACAATGACTTCCGGCAGGCAGAAAAGAAAGAGGAAGCAAGGCATTTATTATACAGTTTAGAGAGAACATGAGCCAGTTTGGGAATACATTTCTTAATGACTATTACAGGGATACCATTGGGACCACATACTTTGTGGGTATCAAGGTTAGAGATGATAGCAGAAATCATGGAAGGGATTATATGTATATCACTCAGCAGAAAATCAGTTGTAAGTGTGAAGTTAGGCAGGGATATTCCAGATGAGTCAAGAGTAGAGTTTGAGAAGAATTTACGGACAAAGCATTCAGCTTTACCAGCAGAGGATAACACCTCAAATTGATTGAAGAGATTTCTTTGTGTTGCTTTTTCTTCTGCCAACCATTTTCAACCTGTTTCTTTTCCTTCTGCTGACAATGTTTCTCTCTCTGTTTCTTTTTCTGCTGCCAACCATTTCTGTTGTCCCTATCTCTTTCCCTCCTGTCAACTGTTTCTCTCAATCTTTGTTTCTTTTTCTTTTGCCAAACATTTCTTTCTCTTTTTTTATTTCCCTTCTGCTTACCATTTCTCAATCTCTGTCTCTCTTCCATTCTACTAACCATCCTGATCTCTTTCTTTTACTTATATCAACAATTTTCTTTCTCTCTGTCTTTCTTTTCCTTTTGCTACCCATTTCTCTTTTTCAACCTCTCTTTTCTTTCTGTCAACCATTTCTCTTACTTTTCTCTGTTTTTCATCTGTCAGCCAATTGTCTCTTTTTCTTCTGTCAACCTTTTCTCTGTCTCTGACAATAAAGATGAGGACAACAGTCTGAAAAATGTAAATAGAGTATATATCTTTTCTTTCTGTTAGCCATTTCTCTCTTCATCAGTATGTTTATCGTTGCCAAATGTTTCCACTTTTATCTTTTCCTTTTTCCAGCAATTTCTTCTCTATCATTTTTTTTTCCTTCTGCTAATAATTTTTCCCTCTCTCTTTTCCTTCTGCTAATAATTTCTCCTGCTCTCTTTTTCCTTCTGCTAATAATTTTTTTCTCTCTCTTTTCCTTATGCTAGTAATTTCTCCCTCTCTTTTTCCTTGTGGCAAAAGAGAAAGACACTTATTGAGAAAAAGTTCTGTACAATATGCCAAAGACAAAATAAGCAAAACAGAAACAAGTGCAGGTGTTGCCATAAATGCATCTTGGATATGCTAATATTGTGTGTCCTCTCCCACCTGTTGACCAATTAAAACAATTGTTCTGTCAATAAAAACAGTTGGTGTTTTCGAATTGAAGGAAGTCATTTTTATTTATTCTGTCTTATCCATCAGCTTGTGTGATGATTTCTGACTGATTATGTGTATTGGGATTTATGACATTGAACCTTTGATTTATAATTTTGACATTTCTTTCTGCCCCTGAATCTTCAAATTTGGACTTGTGATTTGTTTATTTCGTTGTGGAATTGGGCTGCCATATCAGTTATTTGAATACATTGTTTGCTAGGAAAGAAGCAAAGTTTAAAGCTTTTTTGCTACATTCCTTCTAATAATTTCTTCCTCTCTCTTTTCCTTATGCTAATAATTTCTTCCTCTCTTTTTTCCTTCTGCTAATAATTTCTCTCTCTCTCTTTTTTTCCTTATGCTAATAATTTCTCTCTCTTTTCCTTTTATCCAATTATATTAAAATTGTTTACTTGTGATTCTATCATTCATTTTTCCATCAATTTAATTTTCATGGCAACTGCTGGCAATATATCTTACTTGTAAATGCTATTGTTAAATTATTAAATTTCTTGATTGACAAAGACAAGCATGAATTGATATGAATTTTGTTTCTTCCACTCTGCTGTAGAAGAGAGTTATTAAATTCTATAATCAAATTCTCTCATAACATAATTTGTTGCCAATTTTATGCACTTACATTGCACATTTAATTTCTTCATCCTTCCTTGTTACAATTTACATAAATGTTATGGACAATTATTATGGCTTTAAAAACAAACATTTTAAAAATAGATATTAATATATACAAATGTGTTAAAACAAATTACACATTTGAATTACTATTTGAGAGTGCTTGAGACCATATATATGTGTGTGTGTGTGTGTGTGTGTGAATTACAAAAATAAAACCCAAATTACCCCATTCAGATGACCATTTCATCCCCGGGAGATTCTCCCTGGGACTTGTCAATGCAAATACATATATATGCTCTATAATAAATATATTGAGCTCTCTTTTGTGGATCAGTTTTAACGTTTTATATTAATAGGATCTACTTGGATTACTTACCCATGGATTTCTATCTATCTATATATATATATATATATATATATATATATATATATATATATATACTCGACTCTCCCGTCGAATTTGACGTATGAGGGTCAATCAGATCAGCTCCCAGGAAACTGACAGCCCAACAACAGCACATGAAATTTGATTATACTGGTGAATGTTTCGTGCAGGACCATCCACACTTTCTGAAGGGCTGAATACAGAGACCTGGTGCACTATGTGCCACAAAGTCCCCAAACGACCCTCCGTGGAGAGGAGGCACAGTGGAGTAATGAATAGCGGCTTGGATTGGGGAATCGGAGAGCCGAGTTCGAATTCCAGTTGAATCAATTACATTCGCTTATATGCTAATACCCTTGGGAAAGGTGTGAATCCTCTTCCTCTCCCTCCAGCTATGGGTAAATAGCAGGACAGACTGGGTTCTATAGCCTTGGGTGGCAACTGGTCTAGGAGAAGGACAACTCTGAAAAAAATATATATATATATATTATTTTATACCTATACTCTGGCGGTGAGAAAAAACCTGGATAATACAATTTGTAAATAAAAATATATTTGAACAAACTGTTTTCAGGGAAAAAAATTCAGTAAAAAAAGAAAAGACTAAAGACATCCATGTTGGTTGAAAATAATCAATCAGCACCTAGTCAAAAGAAAAAACACTGACAGAGTAAATTAAGTAAAAATGTAAAAGTGCTCAATACACTAAGTAGAGCAAAATCTAAAAAACCTAGTGAGCCAGAAACTACCTACCAATGTTTCACCTAACAGATATTCAGGGTACTACTGGCTCTTTTATATATATATATATATATATTTATATATATATATATCACCTATAGTGCTGGTGTTAATAAAATAGTGCTTGATGTGATACAACAGAGCTATTAAGTATACATTAATAAATATACATACCTCACTGATAGCACAGTTTGAAGTTTCATGCACAATGCAATTTTCAGGGGCTGAGTATGGACTCTGTCCCTGAACATTGCATTGTGCATGAAACTCTGAGTCATGCTAGTGGTGAGGAATAATATGTAAATTTATTAATATATGCCATATGTTTTGGCAGTATATTTTCATTTAAGCATGTCTGATTAAACAATTTAGACATGTTGTGTTTGTTTAATTTTAATAAGAGCCTTTTGTAATCACGTATAAGCTTTGTTATTTCATGATTAAAGAGTGCAAGGAAGGTACTGTGGTTGTATTTATTCATTTTTTTTCCCAAATACTTTTAATAAAGATGGCTTCAAGAATTTGTAGTTTCTGCTTATTATGTTCTTGGTGAAGTATATAGGTATTGTTGACTAATATACTTCTAAATTGTGAATGTGGACAGGCATGTTTTTGCAGATATTATGCAATGGAGGATGTCTCATTCCTATGTAGATTGAGTTATCTTGATAGCATTATTGCACAATGAACCAGCATATACATTAGCTTTTTTGTTCTCCCAAAGAACAATTTAAATTGATATATAGTGTTGGTTTTCTGCAATATGTCAATTGGTGGGGAGGAGTTATTACAGATGATAAAGTTGCTTGTATTAAATTTGATATAGTATATAATTAATTATTTTACTGGGATCTATGGGGGATATATTAGTATTTATTGGATTTTTAAGATTTTTTTCATCTTGTTTATATTTAGAATTCATCTGATTACGATATAGAAGATTGATCTGTTTAGGATTATTTGAGGAAGTATTATGTTCTATTTGATTTACATTAAAATGTCTAATAGATCGCCTTATTTGTTCATCAACAATGTAGTTAGGAAAGCCATTATTAATAAGTGTTTGTTTAATGTCTTTTAGTTCAGTATAGGAAATCTTTTTTGTAGATGAGTTAATTTTAGCACGGTTCATTAAATTTTACATAATTACCACTTTGTAGTAGTTATTACAATTAAGGGTGCATGAGTTTATGCTAGTAGGTTTCTGTTATATTCCATGCTAGTAGAAATATATACTTGAAAAACACGGTGGATAAAATAAGTAAAGGTTTATTGTAAAATACAATAAGAATAAAGGTAACAGTTATGCACAAGGTCATCGCATGTCAATCCAGTAGTGAGTGCTACTATTGGAAGGTTGGTAGTTCTTGCATAAGTCTGAGTTGTACTCAACAGATCTCAGCTAGTATATTTAGCTACCCCCCCCCAACGTGGGTTGCATGTGGCACAAGGCTGGATTAATGTGGGTTGTCAGAGTCTGTAGGTTTGCCCAAAAATATTCCCTTTCAAACTCATATAAATGGGTTCAGGGACAGTCAACCTCCCCGAACAAGACTCTGCCCTTTGATGGAGCCTCGTCCAGGTTTCTCTCTGCTCAGAGGCAGAGACTTTGACTGTTTAGCTGGAACAGGTCACAGCTAGTTTCTGTAGTCCATTGACTTACAGATACTTATAGTGTAGTCACTCATGGGGGGTGACAGGTTATTCTATCACATAAGTTTCTTATATAGGGAGATAGTGAATGTATTATTATTGGTGTCTATCAATATATCACGAAAAGGAATTTTATTATTTTTATTAAGTTCATATGTGAATTTAATGACAGATTTTTTGTTTTTTAATTCTTGTTGTAGTTCATGTATTCCATCAATGTTTTTTACTAAGACAAGGATATTGTCAACATATCTAAGGTAGATGGAGGATTTTTAAATTACTAAATATATTATTTTCAAGGTTAGCCATATAAAAGGTACTAAAAATTGGACCCAGAACTGAGCCTATGGAAACATCATCATACTGTACATATATATTGTTTTTGTCATCAAAGTATGGAACTTCAGTAATACAAGTCAAAAGCAGTTTCTGTAATATGTTGGATCTAATTTTTAATCAAAGGGAGAGATGGATTATTGTATATATTGTTTATAATTATGTTGATCGTTTCTCTAACTAGGACATTGGTAAATAAATTTTCAACATTAATTGAGGTTATGGTTTGTAGAATCAGACTTCTACGTTTGCTTAAAAACCCATTAAAAGGGCCTCAGAGTGAAACTTATCTCAAATCAATCCAAGTGGACCAACAAGCCATTAAAATCAGCTCCAGGCGAGAAATAACTAAAAACGTTTCCTGATTGGCTAATAAACAAAAAATTTAATTTTTAACCATTTCACCACAAAGACAAAAAATTACTTCTGGCACACAACTAATTGTCCTAGCCATCATAACCCTGAAGATGATAATTTCTTCAACGGACTACAGAATAAAAATGTCTCAGCACAAAGGGGTCTTGTGTTTTCCACAGTGATAAAGTGATTTATGTAGTTCTTTACAGGAAAGTTAAACTTGAGTGTTTGCTTTATTCAAATTTTTCTTTGGAAGACACCAAAAGAATTTTCTGTCCTGGGGCTTGAATCTACCTATAGCTGTCGGCTCTTCTTTCTTTCCTTGTGATGATTTATGACCCCTTTAGCTGGACAAATTCTCTGGCCTTGAAGTGTGGGCAATTCAATGCTTCTTTCCCGATGATTAATTGCTTTCTGAAGCCATCTGCTAATTGCAGTCCTTTTGTTCAACAAAGGAGGTTCACACCAGGATCCACAGATTTGAAAGTACATTTCTCACTGGATAGTTAATATGAAAACTTATTTTTCCATAAATTCAAAAAATGAATCCACAACAATTCACAAAGAAATAATTTTGGCAGTTATTTAACCGCTAATCCTAAAAGAGACTTTCATACATTATTCAGACTATTGTCCTCATCTTTGTTGCCATATTTATTACAATGTTTCGGCTGTTGTACGCTCAGGTCTTCTTCGGGTGGTTATCGCAGTGTTACACCAGAGTACCTCACATATACGGTCTCCCTAAGATTTACAAAGGTGATATTCCACTCAGGCCGATTGTTAGTTGCCAAGGCTCTGTGTGCCACCCTCTGAGTTGCTTCCTTGTATATATAACTGACCCATTGATCGGAAAGTTTCTTTCATATGTCCAAAACTCTGTCCACTTCGTGGAAATAATCAAAGATGCTCCCATCCTATCCAACTAGATGGTGAGCTTGGATGTGGTGAGTTTGTTCACCAAGGTACCCACGGAGGAGGCACTCTCAGTAGTCAGAGACAGATTGGCGTCTGATTCATCCCTAGAAGAACGGACCAGTATTCCAATAGATAATCTGATGGAGATGTTGACTTTCTGTACACAAACAATCACATATATCGACAGGATGAGGGCTTAGCAATGGGCTCGCCATAGTCATCAACAATGGCGAATATATACATGGAATACTTTGAGGAAATGGCATTAGAATCTATATCTCTAAAGCCAACTATATGGTTAAGGTACGTAGATGACACCTTCATACTCTGGCCACACCAGGAAGATGTTCAGGTTCTACTGGACCATGTGAACTCAATAAGACCTACAATACAGTTCACAGTGGAGAAAGAGAGTAACAATACACTCCCATTCCTGGATGTTCTAATATCTCGAACAGAGCATGGGTTCAAGACATCTGTAAACTGTAAACTGACATTCACCGAACAGTACCACAATTTCAACTCCCACCATCCATACAGCGTAAAGAAAGGGATAGTCTGCTGCTTACAACACTCAGCAAAAGTCATAAGAGGCAACCCAGACATTAGATAAAGAATTGATCAGTATAAGTAGTACCCTACAACGTAACAACTACCCTGGGTACATGGCAGCATCCCCAAAAAACTGGGATAGGCGGGTACAAGAGGAGGAGGGCAACAACACTCAGAAAACAGTCTGCCTGCCTTATGTGAAGGGGTTATCAGAGAAAATACAAAGGATCTACGGTCCATATAACATCAGGACAACCTTCAAAAGCTTGACAACACTTTGCAGATATCTCTCCCAAGTAATACCCCCCCATAGAGGAGAAAATGACTAAAGACTGTGTATATGCTATCCTGTGCAGCTGTGGAAAGAAATATGAAGGGGAGACAGGCTGCCCCCTTAAGGTAAGGCTTCAAGAACACCAGAAAGCTGTAACATGAGGGGAAGTGGAAAAATCAGGCATGGCTGACCACATATGGAGAGAGAAGGGAGATCACTGCCCTCTGTGGGATCAGGTTGAGATCATAGACAGAGAATACCATTAGAAAATTCATAAACTTAAGGAATCAGCACATATGCCAGGCCACAAAAATCTCCTGAGTCAACCAAGCATAGAAATGAATACAATATGGGAACCAGTAATAAGGAGTGCCAGAGAAAAGCGATAACAACAACAACAAAAATTGCAATATGAACCTGTAAAAACATGCAATGATAACAGCAAAAATTGCAATATGAGCACTGGTAAAAAATGATTGCTGAAGACATCAGGTTTATAATACCCAGAAATTCATACAAAGCAAAGTGAATAAAGGCGTTAGTTAGATCCAGTGAAAAAACCCAAAGAGTGTGAGTTCAATACCCGGCTAAGGCAGTGGAGAACTTTCATAGGGAAATTAACAAGCGATAACTGATAACTGACATCCATTAAATGTGGAAGTGGAAAAGTCTACCCCAGTGAGCGAAATAAAGGGGTCAGTTCGACATTCCAACCACCTGAAGAAGGCTGGAGCATACAATGGCCGAAACATAATAAATATAGTGACAAGGATGAGGACAATAGTCTGAATAATGTAAATAATGTACATAATACCTCATCTCAGAAATATAGACAGATTTTTACACAACTGTAACAATTTCTTTTTACAACCTGTCTGGTTTAAATATACACTTTTCTGAAAGGCACATGTTAAAAAACAACATAGACAATTAAATATTTGTTTACTACATTAAAGACTAATATTATAGATTATGTAGTTTAAAAAAATGATATAAAAAGAGCATTCACATTATATTTATCAAGTAACTTTTTCATTGAGATAAATTTCCTAAACATCAATCTATATTGATAGTGTAGTGGTAAGCTAATATATATATGACCATTGTTGATGTCTGTTTATTAACATGACCACACGATTTATCTTTAATGTAAAATACCACAAAATATGAAACACAAGAAGGAACAAAAACGGTTTTATAACAACAACATTCATATTTATTTTTGTGTAATGATGTACTTGCATAAAGGTTACTATTTTGTTGGTGTTATGTCCCTTTGACTGAATTAAAGTTTTACTGATAAAATTGAAATATTTTTATCTGAGCTCACAAAAGTTGAATGAATTATAAAGCTGAGAAATGCTGAATAAACTTTTAGCTTTAGAAGAGTATTTCAAAGAGAAGAGTTCTTGTTGCTTGCTTGAAAATGTTTTGTATGTTTGTAATGTAGTTTGGAAAATTTTGTATGTATGTGCATGCATGAATATGTTTTTAACGTCTGACCGCACATGGTCAAGACAGGATCCTTTAAGGTTACATCTTCACAGGAAAAGAGAAGAGAGAAAAGAGAATGAACAAACTCATGTCTGCTATTTATAATTAATGTAATCACGTGGCAGGCTTCCAGGAAAATGGCGGGAAAACTTGACTTGATCATGTGCTGGAAGAATATTTGTACGTGGGTCAGTTGCCATGAACATTATACACACATACATGTATATACGAACATTCACTAAAATACAAACTCTTTACGTTCACACACAAACACAAATGTTGATATCTTTGTCAATTGTAAATTTGTTGTTTAATACATATATTTGTTGACATATATATATATATATATATATATATATATATATATATATATATATATATATATACCGGTCTTGTTTGGTGTCTTTACATCTTCAGTTGGACTCGATTTGAGTCTGCCATTTTCTTGTAGTTGGACCTTCTTCTAGCAGGAAATAAACAGCATATGTTTCTAATGCAACAACACGAAAAACCCCACGGCCTACTACACTGTCAACATCTCGTAAAAACACCCATCTCTGTATTAAAAAATATATTAATTTGTTTCAGCTCAAATTAATTAAACTTTAATTACATCAGTTAATCTTTGTCAAATAAAGTTTCAGAAAGTATATTTTATTTTTATTTTTGAAAGATTTTTTAATGTGTTGACAAATTTGTCAATATGGATTTTCTCAATTTACTGATAATGAAAAAATAATCCAATCATTTTAAATTCGGTTTGAAATACAATAAGTAGTAGTAAAACGTATATTGCTTATAGGAAATATTAAATTTTTAATTAAATTTAATTTATTATAACTTGCAATTATAAAACTAAAATAAAAGCTTCAAGAAAGATTTTTCATTTTTTAAAATGCATAAACCTTAAAATTCATAAAAAAAGCCATAAAAAGTTAGGTGTCGCATTTTTTAGGTATTATTAAATTAAAAGTTAAAATTATGCTTTAAAAGTGGATATTTTTTGTAAATTTTGTGCCCTCCACCACAGATAGGCAATTCATTACCTACCTACCTACCTAATTAATTTATTTGTTGTTGTTTGTTTGTTTTCTCTTAGGCATTTAAGACCCAGTTACGCGATAAAAATAAACAGGTTTTTCTAGTTTCGTTTGACAGTTTTTTTTATCGTAAGCAAACAAAAAAACAAAAAAGGCACTTGATTCCTGGGTTACATGATGAACCTTAGAACTTGTTTTTATGGTAATGTTGAAGACGAAAAAGAGCTCAGAAAACATTCTTTACAAAAAAAAAAGAAGCCTTCTAAAAATATCTGGCTGGATGCAAGAAAATCATTGTAATAAAATAATAAAAACAACAAAGATGAAGATAGCTAACGGAATACAAAAAGTAAAAAATGAAGAGAAAAAAAAAAGAAAAAAAACTCACCCCAACCCAAGCTATTATTTCCATGCAAGAGCGAGGATGTTGTTGCTTAGTAACCGGACGGAAGTGACGTAATAGAGCCATGGCTGACGCTCTTGTCGACAGAAGTAAAATTGGGATGTTTACCAATAGGAAACAAAATGCATATTTCTTCAAGAATACCGAAAATATTTGCATCATTTCAGTGTGGTACGCTATTCTTCAAGAGATGATAGGGTAAAATATGGGTAAGGAATTATGATACATTTTTTTTACCTTTTCCTTTTCAGATATTTAAAGAGAAAGAACGATATAGTAAAAAATCAATTAAAGTAAAAGTAGTGTGCCTTGTTTGGTTGAAAAAATTCGTTCATTTTCTCCTTAAAGTCTTCTCCACATTTTAATTACATCAAAGGATATTTATTCAAACTTTTAAAAATGAAGGAACTGGCTCATTAAAGTGATTTGCCATAAATCGTTGATAATGAAATATCAATCGGTTATCACGAGAAAATCTTTTAGACTGATGATGACAGACATTTGCAACATACGACTGATGATAACCTTACGACTCTGGTTAAAAAAAAATAAACACAAAAAGAAAGACTTTTTATTTATTACAAATTAAAATACAATTTTATTCAAGAAAAGGTTAATGTGTAATCTTAAAAGATATAATTTTGATTTTTAATAAATTGGAATAAGTTTTTTAATTATTTTGGTCTTGTCTTAAATTTTCCAACCATTTTTTAAAAATAAAAAAAATTATTTCATGAAAAAACTTGAAAATAAATATCATCATTCATTCGTGTTTTGTATCAGTCGAATTCTTTTTTAAATACTCAATTTAGCCACAATTAATTTATTTGATACATTTTCTCAAATATTCTTACATTCGATTTTAAAAGCGAAATAAAAAAAATTATTTTATTATATCTTCACTTCAAGTCAACTAAACAATTTTCTTTAGTCCCTCCTCCTCTAATTTTTCTTTTGAGTTTATATTTTTTCATCTGTTGATTGATCATCATTAGCAATGTTTTAAAAATTACCTTATTTGCGCTTTACTGTTCAGTCGAGTATTTTTTAATGTTTTTTTTGTTTTACTTTTATGTTATTATCCCAACATTTTGAAAACCATGAAATTGTAAAAAAAAAAACAACTTAAGGATGTAACATTAACTATTATTAATTATAAAAAAAAAAGAAGAAACCACATTTTCTCATCCTTCTGCATTTATAATTTTTAATTACAGAAGAATGGGAAAATATTGTTTCTTACTTTTTTGTGGACAGCCTTTAATTTCTTCTTAAGCAACAACAATTTGGATTGATTTTTCAAAATAAATTGTTTTTTTTACTTTTACTCAATTTGTGAAAAAAAGAAAGTAGACTGATTTCTAGTTTTTTTTTTTTTTTTACCAACGCAGAAAATAACGAACTTCATCAAATGAAAAAAAAAATATGAAAGGTTATTCTTTTTTATTTACGTTATTTTGCCGCGTTGGGTAAACAAGTTTTTTTTTGTTTTTTTTTTTTAACTCAAATTTCTAACACTAAATAGTAAATACCAATTTATGTTGATTTGTTCAGGAAAACTTTTTACAAATGAAACAAATTTTTTACTCCATTTTTGAATGGATGTTTGATTTTATTTTAAAGCAAATCACTATTTATTTACGAACTTGAAATGCTAGCCTTTTCAAGTATTTTTTTAAAATCTGAAACTCGAGAAAAGATTGTATCGTATTCTAATGATTTAAATTAAAAAAATCATTTAATGAATGTATGAAGTGTAAACTAAACATAAGTTGCAGAAAACAAATAGAAGTTAAAAATAAAACGCCTTTTAAGGTAAGAATTAAAAAAAAAAAAAAGGTACTTTGTTAAAAAGAAAAAGTTATCCTTTACGGACAATTTACTAAATATTTTTATTTAGTCTTTTTTTTTTAATCAGTCTTCTTAAGATAATTTATTTTTCTTGTTACAAAAAATAACTTGTATGACAAAACAAGAACGCGCGTCATATAACTTTGTTTTTAATTTTTAAAAATAATTTCAACTTTTTTTTTTTTTTTTAATACATTTCCCAGTTTTTTAGGAAATCATTTTTTTAGTCATTTTTTTTCTAATTAAAAGAATTTTAAAAACTTTTTTAGTTATTTAAATTAATTTTTTTTAGACCCAGGAAGAACATTTTTAATTTTTTTTAAAGTCAATATGTGATGTTTTCCTTCAGGACGTAGGTGATCGCGGCTCTTCACATCTTCTTGTTTTTTTGTTGCTCTAAGTAACTTTTTTGTTTTTTTAACGTTTATTTACCCTTCTTACTTTTTACTTTTTAGTCTTTATCACTTCTCTTTGTTCTGGTTCTGTCTACTTTTACACAAACTTACTCGCTGTTTTTCCTTGCGTCTCTTGCCTTCAATGTCTTGTGAGTATTTTATTCTCCAAACTCTCTTTCCTCATTCCACAAGATTTATCTTTTTCTTGATTGGTAGTATAAGTTTCCTTAGTGCCTAGCTATTTTCCTTTTGAAAAATTCCTTGTTACATGTTCTGTCCATGGTATTCATTTGTTGGTAAAATAAAATCACATCTCTTTTTGCTTCAAATCTGTGATTGTTGATATTTCCTTTATTGCTTATCAACCTTTTGTGAGTTGAAACATATTTTGGAATGTAAGAATATTTCTTTATTTTTGCGAGTGAATATCACATTAACAATTTTGTTTTTAGAAGTGGTTTTTCCATACAAGTCTTAATTTAAACCCACAGCTAAGGGGGGAAGATTGATTCGTACCCTTACCAAGGATATTTGTATGATGTAAGTGAACGTCACAAACTCTACTTTCCAATTTCTTATCATCTCTGAAGAGATTGTCCAGCATTCACTGTCATATTGAAGATTAGATGTTAGAGATAGCATTCAGTACTTGTCTTTGTTTCTCATTAAATTTTCTTATCTTTTTAAATAATACTTAGCTTATTTTATGGAAGACATCTCTTTATTTCTTTGCTCCTCTAGATTTCTATATTACATTTTCTGTTGTCTGTGTCTCTACACTACCTGAGGTAGTTAAATTTCTGTACCTGCTTGTTTGGATCAATAAGTTCATTGCCTGAATTTTAATCTGAACTTTTCAGTGTAATGTTTGCTGTGTATCTACAGAGAATGAGATTGTTGAAAAATGAATATTTGTTATGTTAAATAAATCCTTTTTTTTCATAATTCTTTATTGTTGAACTTGTATATAATGTGAAGGACATAAATGGCACAAGGTGTCTAAGTCTTTACTGATCTTTGACACTATTGAATTATCTAAAAAGTTTTTTTATTTTTATTTGGAACTACTTTGAGGAGTAAATAACTCATGCAAAAAAAATGATCCCTTTTGAATTTTGATTTTATTGTGGCATATAAAATATGGTAACAATTTATATATTTTTGTTTTATTAATTAATGTTAAATAAAGATGAAAGAAAATAAACATTTTATGCTTTTTATTTTAAAAAAGTAAAAATATGACTTGAATAGAAAAAAGATTTGCGAGAAAGTAGTGTGAATGATTGAATGTGTCAAAAGTAGTTTGTGAAGATTTATGTTGGAGATTTATCATTGAACAATGCTCTATGAAAGATAGACTAAAAGTAAAAACTAATTGAAATTGATAGCAATCAAATGAAGACAACTTGACACAAGTGAGAGCCAACATACTCGAAATATCCAAATCAAGCATTAAAAAATCATTTCTATCAATTTGATTATGTTAGTTGATTTAATGTGTGATTTCCACATAAGTGAAAAACCTATTGGACTATATATCCATATGTAATTTAATACTTAGTTAAATGTCATGACATTTTTTTTAGTTGTGATAATAAATTGGATATTTTTCAGCAATGGGGAACACAAGACATTGAGCAGTAAATGAAATGAATTCACACAGAAGTTTTATGCAAAGGATGGTGATACTGTGTGTACATGGTATGTTTGGAGTGTTAATGACACACACACACACACACATATATATATATATATATATATATATATATATATATATATATATATATATATATATATTTTTTTTTTTCTACATTCAACATCATCACTTGATAAGACACCAGAAGTGTTGAAACAAAATGGCTATTTTGTAGTGATGTTATAAGTTTTGAATAAATATTTGCTCTACTCTGTATTGAGCATTCTTTTAAGAATAGTATTTTTTTGGTTATTAGAATTTATTCTGTATACACCAATCCTATACTTGTGTGTGTGTATATATATATATATATATATATATATATATATATATATATATATATATATATATTATAATAATAATTATTAGGATATTTATTCAAATTTCCACATTGTTGTTGGTCAGAAAGCAGCTTGGCACATTTTACTGCTCTGGGGTAAGTTGTCAAAAAGAGAAAGATTTTCTAAATTGTCCGCCAAAGTGGAAATGAGGTTGAGTAGTCGTTGGCTCGTCTATTGACCAATCAGAGAACTCATTACATGCTGTGAAAGAAACCTCTGGATTGGCCATTTCCTTTATTTTCTTAAAAGGAGCCGTTACTGAAGCCGCTCCCGCTCAAAAAGTGGAGCATGCTAATAATAAAAATAATTATGTTTCTTCCAAGAAACTGTTCTACCTGAAGACAATTTTACAGTAATGTTTGACGAATCGTGTGTTGTCTTGTCTACTATTTCCTGAGGCAAACCATCATGCGTTTTACTCTTACCTAGCATTTCTTCTCTCGGTTTTTCTACTCTATTTTTCTATCTCTTTGAATGGGGTTAATCTGTCCACAGAGACTTGAGTATGAACATCATTGTTAGTTTTGATCAGGAAATATTTGAGTGTTCTTTGTAATACTGCGTCAGGACCTGAATAGGGTGCTTCTAAAGGCTTCTGAACACAATCTATTCTAATCCAGACTTTATCACAAGTCTGAAGCTTGTCTGGGACATAAGATTTTAGGTGTTTATTGGATCTTTTGGAGAAATATACAAAATCAAACTGTGACATAGATTTGTATAATTTCTTTGTGAAATGCTGAGTTAAAGTTTCACAATTTGTAGTAACTGTGGTAGCAATATTTGTGTGCCTTTAACAGCATAAAAAGAAGAAAAATCAGAACTGTTAGCCATACTATGAATTTCTAGCAAAACTATTGGTAGGGCTGAAAGCCAGGATTCCTTTTGTGCTACAATAGCAGTTTCAATGGTCCTCTGAGGTCTCT